CCTTCGTTACAGAACGATTACTAGAAACTTAAATTTAAACCAGTCTACGGTTTGTAGAGCATAGAGATAGTTTCTTACAAAGGGGACGTGGTACCGGCAGAGCTCTAGTAATCACCCGTCTTGATAATCGATTACTCGTAAATAGTTTCTTGGGAAATAGCTTTCTTACGTCAGTTGACATCAAAGCAGAGGTGAATGAAGTGCGTAGAGTGCACGAACTATGAGGAGAAGGCTAAAGGAAAGGGCCATCATCCACCGACACCGTCACATCTTTCAGGGTAGCACTAGTCCAGAGTGCTTGCAGCTCACAGNCTCTAGTAATCACCCGTCTTGATAATCGATTACTCGTAAATAGTTTCTTGGGAAATAGCTTTCTTACGTCAGTTGACATCAAAGCAGAGGTGAATGAAGTGCGTAGAGTGCACGAACTATGAGGAGAAGGCTAAAGGAAAGGGCCATCATCCACCGACACCGTCACATCTTTCAGGGTAGCACTAGTCCAGAGTGCTTGCAGCTCACAGACAAGCTTGCTTTAGACTGGTGGTAGGACCTTTTGTGAGTCCGTGCGGGTAGGTACCACCACCCTTGCTATTTCTGCCGTGAAAGAGTAATGCGTTTCGGTTTGAAGGGCGGGGCAGCCGTTATAACTATACTGATACCTTAGAACTTATGTCTCAAGGTGGGTGTCACATTTACGTTGTAGATGTCTATGGGCTCCAGCTACCACGTAACACCAGGTGGGCTGTGAGCTCGTCCACCCAACTAAGCTTAAAAAAAAAACTTGCGCGTGAACCTATGTTAAATAATTGTTTTGAAGAGCAGTGCTCTTCCGTATTATTCACCGGTGAGTGTGGACACGCTCACCTGGTGCAATTATTAAAACCAAATTATAAACTAAAACAACTTATTGTTCTTTTTAACAGTTTAAAAAAATTCAATGATTGTTTTCAGTAAACAAACTTAGCCAAATTCAATGATTGTTTTCAGTAAACAAACTTAGCCTTACCGATATGAAACCTCGTTGGAGGTTTAAAGATAACGACCCAAAATGTAACTCTCAATTTAAATATGTATCAAAGTATGCATTCTCGGATAAATTGTTTATTCATATTCGTGTAGTGCTTTGTTTGACGCGGTGTGTGTGGCCGACAGCGAACTGTGTGTCGGGAGAGCGTTGAGCCACGGAGATGCGAAGCTCGATCTAGACTTTAATAATCTTTACATCAACACAAAAAGTAAACTTAAATCTTTGATAAATAAACTTTAAAAAGTTTAAAAAGCCTCTAAAGAGAGCTGGGAATCTTAGCAAAAGCTGCTACGTTTATAAAGTTCGTACGTTAGTTGTTCTCCAGATACTCCGGAGATATCTCTCTTGAGATGTGAAACGAACGCCTCTTGTACTTTAGTTGAAGTATGTAGTGCGAGTGCGAGTGCGGAGCGGGGCGGTGCGCTCGAGGATTGAGTTTTCAAAACTCAAAATGTTGTTAATTGAATTAAACGAACGCTGGCACTAAGGCGGATTAGTGTTAGCGACGGCGGCGGCGGGCACTTGAAGACGTTTATCTTTGAGAATATTATTTACGGGTTTACGGGTTTGTGTTTGAGACCGTTAAATTTAATCTTTTCAATGGAATGGTCTTCAATGATTACGTATTTTATGGATTTTAGTTATTAGTCATCATAAAGTGAAGTTTAATTTAAGGTTATTACAATAGTCTTTTAAACCTTCTATTTAAGTTAACGACCGGTTCACGTAGTGTTAAGTGGTCTCAAAGCTATACAAATCACGATGATACTGCCACCTCTCACATGGAGGTATGATACCAAAGCTGCGTGACATAACGGTTACAAATAAGTAATTTTTTCTTCACAAAATGTTACACATCAACAGTGTTAGCGACACTCTCGTTTTGATCCCCTTGAGCTCACCTACTAGTTCGGTGAATTTATAATAACCCCTCGAGGTTACTAGAATAGGTAGGGAAAAAGAAGCATTGAATAAAATGGAAAGAGCAACCTTATCAATCATTTTCAGCTGCTATAAACGTATATTCCCGTTCGCTGGAAGGTCTTGTCGTCGTATATATTTTGTCAATTACAATATTGATAATCATACTTTATATTGAGAAATACGAGAGTGCGCGCGACATGACAGTGTGCAAGTGAATCCCTAAACGCTTTAATTAGGGTCGCGCGCGGCCGCGGCTGCCCCGACACTCGAACGTACTAATATTTAAGGAAAATAATCGACGACTGCGGGTGACGGCGCCGCGGAAACAAACAAATAAACACCGGCTCGGTCCTGTTGTGACGGCTGTGACGGCTGTGACGCCGCACATGCTACGTAATGTTGGTTTAGGGTATTTTACAGAAAACGACTTGTGATGAGTCAACAGACCTCATACTACTTATGCTGCTACAACAGTTCAATGTGGAACAAATAACATGTATAATAAAGTTACCACTTCCTTATCACGAGATATCCGTCCGAAGACTGACAATTGGGCATAAATCGCGACGTAGGCCCTCACTAAGAGCCTGTGCAGTTGAGAGGATAACTTCACGTGCAAAGTAATGATGGAGTGTTGCATTTATAAAACTTATTATTACGTTCATTACATTAAATTTCATTCCCAGATGGCGAATGTAATCAACTGTGCTTATCAAAATTTATTGATACTCATAGACTACATTTATATAATATATACATATTAACAAGGAGAGAGCTTGAATCAATCTCGGGCCAGTCTTGACACGAGATTCAAGTTTTTTCCCGAAATGACCGAACTCTCGAAATTCGTCCAATAAAACGAACAATACTTCTAATTAAAACAGGCTAAAGGCCGTCGCGGGACAGCCCTGAAATTTTCAATCCCCTATAACCATTTACAAAACAAAAGAGTCGCCTTTTTGGCCTTTTCTAGCCGCTCGTTTGCGTCTTTCGCGGAAAAGAGACGGATGATTTTAATTAACAACTCTGATGAGTAAGGTTGGCGATGTGTAATTTTCTTTTGAATGTTCATCTTGTTGCCGGGCTCTGGAGATAATGTGTTTTTTTTTGTAAACTAAAGAGGATTGTGTACATTTAGCTAACAATCAATAGACAACATTTTGTTTTCCTTTGCAATATTTGTGATGCTGTTTAGTGACACAATGTTTTATAATGCCAGAGTAACTCAGACTTGAGCCCAGGAGTCAAAGTTTTGTCTCGTCACCACAGTTTTGTCCCACCGCCCCACCGAGCACAGCCCTCCGCCCGGTGGGATATCTCCATTCCGTCCTTTAATATCCATGGTGAACGCTAGCATGAGTTCAAGACAGCTTCATCCGCCCGACGCTTTCGTTCTGGTGTTAAGTGATCATTGAAGCCAACATACATCACAACATGAATCACCTTGAGATTTCTCTATCCCCCGTATCTTTAGTCGTTTACACGAGCTTAACTCGCCTCGACTCAACCTCCAACTCGCGTTTTGGTATGCTTAGTCGTAAAAATAAACTCCACTCAAACGTCCTTGGAAAATTTTCCTAACCGGAGTGAAGTGAACGAACTGTCAAGTTAAGTAAGGTACGTCGCGACGTACCTTAAACGTTCCTCAAGGCTGGTTTTCTATCAATGTCCAAATAGTATTTGGCCCGCAAATGGAAATATATGATGTTGTTGTGCAATGGCCTGGATCTGTGCATGATTCCCGCATATTTTGATCATTTAATTTTGATAATATTTATTAATAAAGTAAATAGTTCGAGGTTAGACATTTGTAACTCTTTATTTTATTTACCTACATAAGATTCATATTTTGCTTACTACCTGATAAATAAAGTCAATGCGATTATAAGTTTTATTTATATAATAATAAACTGGTGGTTGTGGAAAAGCACTTCAACAACACGATGCAACCAAAATCACACAAAAGCGGCGAATAAAAATACAAATCCGGATCCGAAATCTAAAATAACAATAGGTTAGAAAATAAATAATACACTTTCAGATTTACCGCACGCACACATATTTACGAACAACTCAGCAACCAAAACATCAAACAAGTTCAATGTTTCTAGTGCACTGAAGTAGGAAACCTATGGAAATGAAACGTCAACCAAAAATTCGTGCCACTGTGACGTCATCTGACCACAAAACATGGCGGTTTTAGTGCTGTACAAAAGTTGACAGTTGAGGAATATTGTAATGGTCGACTAAAAATACCAAACTCGAGTAAGTTTGGGAGGAATGTTCGAGCATCATCGGATGAGTTAAGAGTGGAGGACTATTTTACGAAACGTCTAAAGATACGGGCATATATCTCTATTGTATATATAATAATTACACAAATTATGCATAGCTATTGCTGGTTTGATTTTTATTACACGATGCTATTCCTTCATCATGGAGGTCGTTTGTGACTACGTGGTCACATATAACTTATTTTTTTTAAATGATTCTATACAAACCAACGAATTCCTCATTGAGTCTCAAAGCCTTTGTATTAAAAAAATGAACAGTGCACAATGATTGAAATAATATTGAATTACGTGTGTGGCCGCCCTCGATAAGCTACGAGTGTGTTGGTATCAAGGTGTGACGCAGTGACGACGTTCTCGCGAAGGGCTGGCTGGCTATGAGTCACGGTCACGTGAGGGCCGGCGCTGTGCGCACCCTGACACCCTCATTAGCCAGAGTGCAGGCCCTCCACCGGGCCGACTGATACTCGATGACTTATTATCTGATCGATTAACGGCCGCTAAACCAAACCCCATACCACGGAAAGATTAAATGACAATCTGACTACATTTTAACTTATCACCAATTAAATTAGACACAAATTTAAATGTCATTTTGACTGTGTTCACATAAAACATATTCTTAACATTTCAGTCAAGTGTCATTTGTTCTGGATCTGTTTACGCTTAAATAACGTTTGAAATTATATCTCGAAACGAATGCAGACAGAATTTCTTTGAAAGCGATCCCACTTTTATTTTTTTCTTGTTTGTTTCAGGTTAGTGAAAGGCAAGGGGACATGGAGTCCGCCGTCCAATATTTACTCCTCGCTTTGGCGCTGACTTCTGTGCAAATATCGTACACTGAAAGTCGACTAAATGAAAAACGCAGAGATAAAACCGAGAGGAGGCACCACGGGGCCCAGCCGAAGGATAACATCTGTGAGATCACGAACAGAGAGTCTAAAGTGCACTGCTACTGTGAGAAGGTAGAGGTGAAGACGGCGACGCGAGCGGACTGCTGGGTGTTCAACGGAGGCATCGACGAGCACGACCCAGTCTGGAGCAGCTTCGACTCGCAGCCGCAGCTCGAGCGGCTGACCTTCAACGTCCGCTCCGACGGAGCCCTCACCTTCATCCCGCTCCACGTCATCCGTCGCCTCAAACAACTACAGAAACTGTACATTCATTATGCGACTCTTCCCAAAATAGAAAAGAGAACGTTCTCGAATATGTCCGCCGTAAAGGAGATTACGTTGATGAACAACAAAATAGCCGCGCTGGACTTCTCGTCGTTTACGAGCCTCCCCTCGCTCGTGAATCTAACGATAAAGGAGAACAAGCTGCAGGAGATACAGAGGGACGTCTTCGTGGAGCTCCCCGCCCTCAAGTACCTCGACTTGTCATTCAACAGCATCAACTTGGCACACGACGGCTGCTTCGAGCATCTGTCCGCCCTCAACGAACTCGTGCTGGAAGCTAACGCTATGGCGGTTCTCACGCGAGACACGTTCCGGGGATTGGGGAACTTGACGCGATTGGATCTCAGATCGAACAAGCTGTCGATGATAGGAGACTTAACGTTCACTGAGTTGTGGAACCTGAACGAGCTGCTGTTAGACAACAATGAGTTGAAATACATATCGGAGAGGGCTTTCGACGGCTTGGCGTTGCTACAGAAACTGTCGATGACTGGAAACAAACTGAAGTCGATAAACGAAGGACTCCTGGAAGGAGTGCGCGGCCTCAACCTGCTCGACCTGCGCAACAACCAGTTAGAATATTTCAGCGAGGACACCGTGAAGCCGATCCTGGAGAGTTTGAAGCTGAAGACGTCGGTGCTGTATCTGAGCGGTGAGTTTGTGCGAGTTCATTGATCTGATCAATGACGCAATTTAATGGACAATTTTTCATCATCCATGACTTTTATGGTGTTTAAGGAGTCTCCTTGTGAACTCTATCTTACATTGATTTAAGTACCTTTTCACACTTTTCAAGTGGTTTTTGAAATACTTGATTCCACGGACACGTTACATTTTCTATTAGGATATCAAACTGAAGTTTAACGCAAATAATTTTTTACTTTTTGACTGAGAAAATATTTTTTCACTGTTCGCAGAAACTTCCAAGAAGTTTTTTTTTTTTTTTATTGCTTAGATGGGTGGACGAGCTCACAGCCCACCTGGTGTTAAGTGGTTACTGGAGCCCATAGACATCCACAACGTAAATGCGCCACCCACCTTGAGATAGAAGTTCTAAGGTCTCAAGTATAGTTACAACGGCTGCCCCACCCTTCAAACCGAAACGCATTACTGCTTCACGGCAGAAATAGGCAGAGTGGTGGTACCTACCCGCGCGGACTCACAAGAGGTCCTACCACCAGTAATTACGCAAATTATAATTTTGCGGGTTTGATTTTTATAACACGATGTTATTCCTTCACCGTGGAAGTCAATCGTGAACATTTGTCGAGTACGTATTTCATTAGAAAAATTGGTATCCGCCTGCGGGATTCGAACATCGGTGCATCGCTCAACACGAATGCGCCGGACGTCTTATCCGTTAGGCCACGACAACTTCACGAGAAGTGTATATACTTAAGTAACTATATTTTATAATGAATAGGTTAAAATGAAGTTTATGTTAAAGTTAGAATATATTACCGACGGTAAACGATCATGCGTCTTTATAGACTTGGGCGGACATCACCCAAGCATGCTTTGTGAACAAAAATATACATCAACACGGAGATTTAATATCTAATAAATACCCTTCGAGAGCTCCCACGGGATAGAAGTAACTGTATTTTGTGCAAACAATAGCTTGTAAAGGGCGTTAATACCCTACGAATGGGGTCTATAGGAAAATAGCCCTTAATTCCAACTCAGATGATTGCATCAAGAGCCATATTCCCACAAATCCTGTAGAACCCAAGTCAGATTAAATGAATGCATGTTAAAATCGTTTTTATCGATTGGACAATGGCATTATGAGTCGGTAAATAGCGTTGTTTGGTTTTTAATGAAAGTCGTCTAGCGCGAATGTTTGTTCTGGCGTCGGTCGGCGCGTGCCCCGCTCGGTGGATTAAGTAATGTGATAGTGTTAGCAGTACAGCGATTGATTTATCTCGGGAGCGCGACATCGCGACTCTTTTTTAAGTACCTTAAAGCACCCTACTTGATCGATCATTTTTGTTCCGAGTTCAAGGTTAAAGTGTACTTTTTTTTTTATTGCTTAGATGAGTGGACGAGCTCACAACTCACCTGGTGTTGAGTGGTTATTGGAGCCCATAGACATCTACAACGTAAATGCGCCACCTACCTTGAGATATAAGCTCTAACGTCTCAGTATAATTACAACGGCTGCCCCACCCTTCAGACCGAAACGCATTACTGCTTCACGACAGAAATAGGCAGGGCGGTGCTACCTACCCTCGCGGACACACAAGAGGTCCTACCACCAGTAATAAAAAGTACTTTTAAACCAACTGAATTAAGGAGATAATAATGGATTTATTCATACAAATCTGGAGCAGGTAGCATTTTTAAGATATATTTTTAAAATGAATATTAATTGCCGAAGTTCTGAAAGTTGTATATTAGTATAGTATGAAGTTAACCGGCCGGTTAGGAAACCCGTTACTAAGTAACGGCCCCAGGTGGACGAAGGCATTCGACGTGAGGTGCTTGGGCCCCGGCCCCTGAAGCCCCAACCGAACTACTTCAAATCAGACGGGCCTCGAGATATTTACGAAAAAACGATGGAGTGGGAAATAATGTTACTTTATATAGATGTAATTTTTTAGCTCACACTGACGAATCAGAGAGCGGTATTAACTTCCGGTCATACTTTGAGCTATTAGCATTGTCAATGTATGTAATTCACGTTAAGTTTATTTTTCAAAAAAAAGTGAAGAGGTGACACAGCCCTAACACAACTATGTCGTCTGCGGATCACATCGCTCCACACATCTCGGGGAACCTACGTTTAAACAATCAAAACAGTTTAGTTCCGTTTTCTAGTGATTTTCTTTTTTGTTTTTGTCAAGTATTAATAAACTTTATTTATCAACAAAAAAATTAGAAACAGTTTTTACTCACCGCTACACATGGTCAATTAGAAAAAGAAAGAATAAAATACTGCATAAAATGAATCTAAATATTGAGGTGTGCGTTGGGGGTTATGTTCGAATTCTGACCAGGCGAACATTAATACAAAATATGCTTGAGGGAAATGTTATGTAGTTGTACAGTAATTTCATAATACATTTTTTTTTCAGGAAACCAACTTGTCTGCGATTGTCGACTTAACTGGATCAAAACTCTTCGAAACGAGACCACGAGCGAGCCGCTGAGATCTGCCCTTGATGACGTCACCTGTGTAACAGACGACAAAACGCAGACCAAGGACTTGAACGACAAAACTAGAAGTGAACACCTGTACGAAATAGAAGCCAACAGTGAAGTGTTTCAACAAGATGTCAACGAGGACTATGAAGGAATCGACCAGCACAAGGCGGACGCGGCTCCTGGACCCGCCACTCAAGTTGTCCTGGTGGATATGCCAGCCGAATCCCTTCCCTGTCCGGGTAAGCCGATACAGAACGGAGAGGACTCGCTGATGCTGTCATCAAAAGACGAAACTTACTGGAGGCCGAACTCTTCCTCTGTTTCAATATCAAGTTTAAGTTTAACACTAGCATCGCTGCTGATACGTATCGCATTTTGAAGTTTTAATTTAAGTGTTTCATGATACGAAGTCACTTGCCATGCACATTCTACATTCAATACATCGGCTTCGTCTAGATGAGATTTGTAAATTGATTTTTCCCTTGCTCTAAAATATAGCATACCATTAATTCGTTTTCATACTGTGTGACCAGCTGTCAACGTTTTCCCTGATAAGTGGAACTGGCGTGCAACTTAGTAGATTCTACGATGCGAAAGAAACAATCTGGCTGTAAGATTGAATAAGTTAATGTAATAATGTAAGTGAGGCGTGTGCACGCCGCGTCGCCGCTGGTCGGGGAGCGTGGGACCACATCGCCGGGACTGTCCGTCAGCTCCATCTGTAACGGCATTACGAAGCGTTTAACAGTTTCACTTTAGACATTAAGAATGAAGACTGGGTATAAAATTAAATTATTTTAGTGTAATGTTCGGAAGAGGTTAAGTTAGCGAACGTTGCGGCNAATAATGTAAGTGAGGCGTGTGCACGCCGCGTCGCCGCTGGTCGGGGAGCGTGGGACCACATCGCCGGGACTGTCCGTCAGCTCCATCTGTAACGGCATTACGAAGCGTTTAACAGTTTCACTTTAGACATTAAGAATGAAGACTGGGTATAAAATTAAATTATTTTAGTGTAATGTTCGGAAGAGGTTAAGTTAGCGACCGTTGCGGCTTTGTACATTGCGCGGCGCCGGACCCCCGTACACTCGGAGAGCTATAAAACGCTGATAGTGAAGCCGGCCTGACCGTCTGGCCTGCGTCCAACTTGTTGAAATATTGAAATATTTCAATTGCTTCCAACTCATGTATGCGTTTCACTTTATTTAACGAATAAAATGTTTGCTTGTTTGAGTGTTCGGACGTTGTAGTCTAGTGAAGTCTAGTGAGCAGGTGACGGGAACGATCTAGCTAATCAAAATAAAATATACTGTGAATCTTTTCCTGAAACACATCAACAATAAATCTTCTACATTTTTTTTAAATTATGAGCACTAAGAGTATTGTAAACAAATTTAGTTTTAATTTTAAATAAATCCAACAATATGTAATAGCTAAGTTCGTTTTTCAATAAATAATTTATAGATTACCACGTGGATGTACAACGCGTTTGTCTCATCCCCGGACGCTCGGCACACGGGACACAGTAGAGGATTATGCCTACATTTACTCTTATCAGTACCGAGCCCAACCTATAGAACAATATTGTAAAACGACCTTAAATCATCAGAAAAAAAAGGATCTCAATCCTGAAACGGTCATATTTTTATGTCTATAAAACGTTTGTGAATTATTATCATGAGAATTACCCGTACAATTTTAATTTAACATCCAACTATTGTCTAAAGGGAGACGAAGACAACAATGTTTCTACGTTTTACAACAACTATTTCATTTTCCAATTTCAATTTGAACTAAACTTAAATATCTCAAACCTGACCTCCTGCTTCTTATCGAGTTACAACATATGTATGAGTATAGAGAGGTAGCAGAAGCGATTCTTTTTTTTAAAATGGGACAACAGAGATCTTGACGCTTAACCAGGACAGGTAGTTGGACTCGACAGCTTAGCCAAGAGGGACTTGCTGACAAGTGCCCGAGCGCCGAGGCCGCCTAATAGCCCAAGGGCAGCTGCTTCGCGACTGATTCTACTATCGCGTAACGCCCCAGACCAAATAAATTTCAAATTAGATGTAAACGTCTGACAATATTTAAACATATACAATACCTTTTCTGAAAAATTGTCGCCATCTTACTAGCTTATTGGACCATGAGTTTGAATTAAAAAAGTCTGTAGCTTCTCAATGCGGTTTTGTGATGAAATTTTGTAATTTAGTTTAGGTGATTATTGTGTATAAACTTACCTGTAAATATTAGATTACGATTTGTGATTTTATTAATAATAAAGTTTTTGGGAGATCTGTAATTATTTTATATTTGAATCCTTTCTACGTGAATCGACGACGATATGACGCGACGGGTGTCCCCGGGAGCGCCTACAGTTGACAACTGGCTCTCGAGTTGAAGAGGAGGCCGATGTTTATATTTAATTTATTGCTTATGTGGGTGAACGAGCTCACGGCCCACCTAGTGTTAAGTGGTTAACGGAGCTCATAGACATCTACAATGTAAATGCCGCCACCCACCTTGAGACATGAGTTCTAAGGTGTCAGTTCAGTAAAACGGCTGCCCTACCTTTCACACCGCAGCGCATTACTGCTTCACGGCAAAAATAGGCAGGGTGGTGGTACCTACCCGTGCGGACTCACAAGACGTTTTAACGGTAGGCAGCGGCTTGGTTCTGCTCCTGGCATGCTGAAGTCTAAGGGCGACGGTAACCACTTAGCCACAGGTGGGCCGTATGCTCTTCCTACTAAAAAAAGTCCTAACACTAGTAATTAAGCAAATGACAAGTTTTGCGGCCTTTATATTCTATAACACGATATTGACCGTGGAAGTAATTCATAAACATGTATTAGGTACCTACGTATTTCATTAGAAAAATATGGACACCGTAACAGTCACATCGCTCGTTACGAATGCACGGAGCGTCTTATCATTTAGGCCACGACGACTTCAAAAGGGTTTCCTGACTCAACTTGGAAGTGGCTTAGATGCGCGACACAAGGGCCGCTTACTGCCGGGCGTCCCGGAGTCCGGAGCACCCGCAGACACCTCAACTATAGTGTAACGCTTTCCTTCAAACAAGTGTGACCGCTAAACGCATATTAGTATGTACGTACCTATCTGTCTGTACGTATTACTTAATCATTGTAAGCAGGTGGAGCCACGGGGCACACCCACTACAATAATTCAACGTATGTACTTGAAACAGGAAAATATGTAGAGAAAGTAATGTTCACTGATAATTTGTATTTCTTTTCATTTTTATCACACTCAAACAAAACAGTAGTTGTAAAGTTGTCTAATATTTCATATTTTGATATTTAATATTAATTCAATACAACGAGGTACTAAAAAAAATTCTTCCCAAAAAAATGAGTGTAGTGGCCTTCAGACCTCCGGCGCTCCACTGTAGAGCTTACGATAAAGTACATTAGGGATATCTTAGCCGTCAGCGGGGGATATAAAGAACTTAAAGTATCTGTAAAGAAAACAGACTGAGCTCTTTTAATTTAGATAAAACCATAATATTTGGCGGGATACTGACAGCCCCTGATGACGTCGAGTAAATCCCCGAAATAACTGAACAAAGCAGTAGCCACGGGACTGCCAACAAAAGCTAAGTGCAAAACGGTAAAACCCCAAGCAAAAAATCTCACTGTATCTAATAAGTATAGCTACAACGGTGCGTACTGCCACAACTAAATGCCCCTACCGTCATTTACCACCAATTATTTACAACGCGCTGTAATCTGATTTAAAAACTGCTTCAGGGTGGATTTGTCCATTTCCATAACATTTTGTTTACACTTAACTTGATAGTCGCCGTAGTGGTATAAAGCCACGTACGTCTAACTATAATGTTGAATGAATAAAGCAAGAGCACTAAACCCTTAAACTGCAACCTAATAAATAAATAAAATATGAATTTTTACTCATTGGTGGTAAAACATGTTGCGAGACAGCCAAGCCCAGCGTTACCGGCATCCCTACTTCTGCTTCAAAATAATTACGTGCTCCAAACTAAAATCAAAATGTTCTTTTTCATAATATGCCTCCATAAACGCTTACCAATATTCAAGGCATGGCTACACTAATTTAGTCGTCAGCGTCTCCTGTAACTATTATAAAAATATAGTCGGCTGCACCGGGAGCCCACTCAGTTTGTTTGAATGAATTTTCTCAGGAGTGAGGACTAAGAGAACCGGTGCGAGAGTACGGGTGCAAGTTATGATTTAATATTAGCATAACAGGTGTGTCGCATATCAGTTAGAATAGTGAATGTACAAAAAAGTGTAAAAGAGCTCACAATTAAATTATTTTCTTTTACAATGAAATGTGTTTCGAATCGAGTTTGAATAGTAAGGGCGGCGTCTGTGATTTTCATCGGGACGGATGTTAATGCGCAGTTCGTTGATGGCCGCCATTTACTGTTATTACACCTGCTTCCGAGGAAACGTCTATACTGTTACACAAAAAATGACTTTCTAAATAACTTATTTTGTCACTCACCTTATTACGGAAAACGTATTTCGTAAACGACCTGTGTATATTGTCGATGGAATAAATGGATTTCAGCGGCGATGTTCATGACGAGCGAGCTTTTGGAATTATTTTACGTAAATTGGAACTTTTTCCTGAAGCCGTATGGTGTAATCTAAGTCTTTATATTGGCTTCGGAGGCAAGTGAGTCGTAACTGGTGATGAGCATTGAGCGATCAGCATAGTCCAAAAGACAGTCAAGCGATTGTCTACCGCTGAGCGATTATTTGTGAACAGTATTAACTTTGCTCTTGCCGCACCACAGCCCTGCCGCCCCCACCATGAGACCTATGTAGACTTACCACCGAGCACTCCTCGTATCTATATTACCGGTGCTACTGTTTAACTTCTTCTCATTATGCATTCGTTCGTCTCCTATACGATCTTATCTGTCTTGATAGATACTTCTTGATCGAGGCTATTATTTCATGACCATACAAATTGTATTTCATTTTAGTTCTGTCGATATGTTACGGACCTTAGCGCGCGGCACAAGGCCCTACCGTGTTTCAATCGTCCGGACCGTCGTTAGTCCTGAATATCCTGATCAGGATATTCGAAAAATAAATATTAAATAATTGTAGTGTGCCCAGCTTCAATTCAGTCCGACGCATTAAAGTGGATAAAAATCACTTTCGATTCCCTTACATACCGAGCTAACTAAAGCGTGTTAAAAATACAGTCGCAATATCAGGTAGCTATGTGTGTGTGTGTGTGGTAAGAGGCTCGTTATGAAAAGCAAATTCTTCATGAAAAATAAGTGAATGGCGAACCAATTAAAATAGAATACTTTAGGGGAGGGAGCACTCCAGTCATTCATAATTGAATGCAGTTCGGCCTGGCCGCGCTGGCTATTCCGAACCCGTCAATTCCGACTGTGCCTTAAACGACAAGAATCGTGGAGCCAACATCTTTTCAATCAACTTTGTTGAATAAAACCGCTGGCGCATGAGCGCGGGTTGATCGTCTCCTCGGTGTAGCGGATCGGTCCGGCGACCTTGCCACGGGGTCCGCGTTTAAACTATCATTCTTGATTGATGAGCCTCATCTTATGACGTGTGTATTTTTCTGGTCTCCATAATACAGGACACGTCCTCGCTCGGACTTGCTGAGCGCGTTACAGTTTTACACTTCATATTTTTATCATACCAAATAAATCAAGTAAGCTCATATTTTCCAATTTTTTAGTACACTTTCAGCGTTTTTAGTATTTGTGGATTTCAAGCCGCCCTCCAAATAATTATAACACGCTCAATAAATGCGTTCTAGTTGAAGGGTCTACAAGTTCCTCTCTGCAAGTTGCACCGACTTAGCCAGCAGCCTGACATCACTCCCGTTAGAGAGTACTCCCGATGAGCGGATTTGTGAAGTAGGAAGTTCTTCTTTTTTCAATGCGAAAAATCGAAGTTCGACTTTATTGTGATGACGGTAGGCCGAAAGGACGCCACCCCAACGCTGTGTTAGCGCACTCACCCACTTATAGTCGGATTTTTAATTAGACGAAGCCAGCTGACAGTAGCTAATGTCACTTTGTGAAATAATGTTGCTATATTTAAAGAATAGTGATGCGTTCAGTTCACATGAATGAACAATGAGTCTGAAGAGTTAAACACTAATTTCAAACTATAAAAGAATATTATTTATATTTTACAATAAAATTGTATTAAAGTGCTCCAATATATGTTACCAGTAGTATGTAACTACAATCAGCCTTTTTTTATTTTCATTACCTACCTATAATTGTTATATTTTATACATCTATAGTTTCAACTATATGATGTATTGGAAACAGGACCGTCTTACAAGCTTCCTCGCAATGGTTTTCTTAATGTTTAAAACACTCGGTGTTCAGTACAGATAGATACTATAGGAACATAATATTTCGTCGAAAACTCGTTGGTATGTACAAAGCACGCCTAAAATTCGAACCCCGTACCCGATACCGGCAATTCGGCACACCAACTATTCACTAGACAATCGAGGCAATTTCATGAATTCAGGAGTTTTTTTCAATCGTTCACTTTGTCACAACACTATTTTTATTTCATCAAAAACTGACAACACAGTAAACGTCAGTTGACTTCGTCTAATAAAAAATCCGACTATAGGATAGTAGATAATTAAAAAATATGGATTTCAGCTACCGCTACCGCCTATGTCTTAGGTCATTACTTTGAACTAACAAATGCTACAATAAAACAAGAAGCAAATTGTCAACTACGGTCGTCGATACTGTGCGCTAATTGCCTGACTATTGTATTACAGTAATAAGCCGTTATTAACAGCGTTAAAGTTTTACCGAGAGTCTTTCGTACTGGTCTACGTCCACTTATATAGCTTTAAGTACAATTAAATTTTAAATCATTCAAATTCAAATGTCCTTTAGTTTTATTATGTCAGTTAATGACATGATTGTACCATCAATTCAACAAATTGTATATTAGCTTCAACGTTAGTGGTTTTTCCGCGGGAGGTACCTACTACCTGCAGCGTGGACAATGCGTTGAGACAACCGAAGTAATCGTATCGAGCGATGCAGTTATACCGTTATTTGAGCCCCGCAGGCAGGTACCAATTTCCTAATGAAAAGCGTATTTACCACATGTTCAAGAATGACTTCCACGATGAAGGCATGAAATCGTGTAATAAAAATCAAAGTCTTCCAAAAAATGATACGTCACACCAGCACCACAAGTGTTCAAAAAACAGCAAAATTCGTCGGTCTACTGAATACACAACAGCGGGGGGGAGGATC